AGTATATAAATATTATTCTACCTGGCATTGACAATATAGCCATAGATAATTTGCAGTTTAGTGTATGAAGTGAATCCAGAGGATGGGTTACTTTGGTAACAGTGTTGAGCATGTTGTGTGAATTCATCATTGTGTCAGTTAAATTCTGTGTTGGTAAAGCTTAGACAGAGAGGACAAATACTCAGCAATTCTACTTTCTTGGCATCTTTACTTGCTACTGCTGCATAAGAAAAATGTCAACATTTGACAGGTCTTAAGGAGGAAGGAATCAGTGAATATATATAAACTTACATTTTGTGTCTCTCAGCAAATATGTCTGTACCTTCTATAACTGACTCCCTTCCCCAAGCAACACCCTGCTGACTTTATAATGTAGGGTGAAGATGGTCCACAGACTCCCCAGACTCTGCAGTACAATATAAGCACCAATCTCCGCATGTGGCGGAGGGCAGAAGAAATTGATATCCTTGCAAGGATGAAATGTCAGCTTTTCTGAAACTTGACTTTTCCAGCAATACCTTGGGTTATTCTGTCTTGTTCCTGAAAATATCAGGACAGCCTGTCCTAATCTTGTACATTAGTCTGGGCATGTGCCCATGCACATACACACATTGCAGCTATATTTTCCATGGGTTGCAGTAGCACTAAGTATGCAATACAGTTCTCCTTTTTTGTCATAGTGTCTATAATAGGGATCCCCAATCCCAGGACTGCGGACCAGTACCGGTCTGTGGCCTGTTAGGAATTGGTCCACGCAAGCAACAGGTAAGCAAAGCTTCACCTGCGCATGCACGAGATCTAAGTTGCATGCAAAATCATTTGCATGGAAAATTTGTCTTCCATGAAACCGGTTCCTGGTTCCACAAAGGTTGAGGACAGCTGGTCCATAGTACAACACACTCTGAAACAATGGAATTGGCCTTAGTTGAAAAGAAAGTAACAGAGTCCTCTCATCTTCCTGTGCTACTGTAGATAAGCTTCTTTCACTGAGGGACAATGCGTAGGTAATGTCTGTAAAGGAATAAGTAGAACCTAAGGGATGGTGATACCAAGACCTTTCAGAGCTGGCATTTTGCTTGTCCCTCATCCTACTTAGAACCTCGAGTTCAGGAGAAGAGACGCCATCAGCACCAGACTTTGCTACGAGCTGCTGTGAGCAGCATCCAGGCACCCTCTCTCCCTTGTTCCACCAGAAACACCTCTCATCTCCAGCTGGCTCCCAGCCTAGGTTCCTGCTCCCTTCCAACTACTATCAGCATACCAGGTTTGTATGCCCCTTTGCCAGAGTGCCTCTACAGCAGAAATTAAATTGACTATTGGAGTATGCCAGCAGAAGAGATGTAAGTAATGTAACAGGTCACATACTGTTGACCTGTTCCTTCTAGATGTTAGTTGCACCTAATTACCTGAGTAATTAAAGTGTAAGCATTATTTTTTGTTGAAAGGTTGGTTGGGAAAAAAAGTTTACTGACACTAAGTAATTTGATGATGAGAGATATTTGACACTGGAGTTGGAGCAGTGCAAACCATTCCATTTACAGAGGCCTATTCGCCTTCTTCCCACTCAAGTTGTTCCAATCAAAGAAAAACATTCAGATAGAGAAGGGTGTTATTCTTGAGCAGAAGTTGCTGAATGCTGTTTTCAAATGGTTTTTCTACTTGCAATTAAACTGGAACAAACATCCCTGTGATTTTAATGGTGGGTAAAAGCAACATTGATTTTAAAAAGTTCACTATATGCTGCCAGGACAGTTTTATTTATTCAACTTACACTGTGTCATTTGGAAGAAATGTAAGGCTTTCCCAAATAGGTTTTTGCTTATAGAACACAACTCAGAATGAGTAATATATGTATTTAACCTCAAACAATTAAAAGTCTTGGAAGGGAAGGAAAAAGTGGAGGGGGAAAAGATTTGTTTGAGCCAAATCTGCATCAGTTCACATGGTAGCAGTAATATATAGACAAACCAAATTAGATCCAATCAGTGATGGAGGTGTGATAAGCTATATCAAAGACTCAAGAATTTGAGAAAAAGAAACAAGCAAATCATCCATGAGCCTCTGCTTTTTAAAATACAATACTGAACTTCTGGATTTATTCTGGTTTAACTGAAAATAAGATTTATTCAAATCTGCTTCTATCTTCAACCTTTCTAAGGATTCTATCCAGAAATTGATTTTTTTTTACTGCTAAGAAAGATACAGCATCTCTCCCAATTTCTTGACTCCATATGTATAGGCATTAATCATTACATTTAAAAAATATTGATAGTACTTTATTTGCAGATAAATATAAAATCATCAAATCTGACACCTGAATAGGAAGGATTAAACATGAGAAATCCAATATCCAGCCAAAAATTTTATATATTTTTCTTTGTAATATTCATTGGCCGTGTTTGTATATTTTCCGACAACTTAAACTAATTTATTCAATTTACTCATTTTTGTTGTTCAACACATCAAATTATAAACTAATTATATAAGCAAAAATTACATAAAATGCCAGGTCAAATAGCATCTGACTAGTTTGCAGTTCCATGGTGAACTAATGTGTCAGAAGTGAGCAGCTGTCCTGATTTCAGCAGTCTCTGTGAAAACTCATCACAGTCTCTTTGGATCTTGACTGAAGTCTCTGCCTCAAACAATAACAGCCAAGCCAATATTATCCTGGGGGATCTGATATAACAAATCTCCAAGTTTCCGATAGGGATATCATTCCATCATTGTTAAATATGATGGATCTCAATGCTCCAAACACGCCGAACAGAAGCAAAATCTGCTGGAGTTTTGGTATTAGTATTGCTTTTTCTGCAACTGATTGCCAGTCAAATCACAACTAAGAAGTAGTCTGGGGAGTTCAGTGTAAGCTTGTATTACCTCCCTCATTTACCTTTTCTCATTGATCATGCAGGACCCAGCTGCAACAGCCTACATAAAACTGCCAAGGCTAGCACTGAGCATGTCCCCGAGAAGCTGAAGCCTCCACCTTGTGGCCTAGCTTTGCTACAGGTAAAGGGCAGTGATTACATTGATACACAAAGCTTGACTGTCATGGGTAAATACCATCGCCCTGGGCTGCTAGTCTAGGGCTTTCCTTACATTCGAGATTAATCACTGGGCTGTTATTTGTCTGACTTTACCAAACTTTAAAAACACCCCTCTAGCACAGTGATTTCGTATCAATATCAGCTGTACCAATACTATGGTAGCATTGGACATACACGGGCTTTACATACAATCCTTGTCTTGCCGATAATATCCCAACTGGATTTTCTTTCTCCATGCAGAACTTTTCAAGACGGTTGAACAATCAAAAACTATCAGAAACTACTAGGTAATAGCAACTTAGAAGGTAACAAGTAGTAGTTTTATAAACTGGGGTGGAAAGATCTGCATGATTTCCCCCTTTTGTGCCTACCAACATGGAAGGACCAGGTTTGGAAGAGTTTCATATTAGTCATCTGTAAACAAGAAAGGTAACACCATTCTAGAAATTGTGCATATTCTTAAGTGCTGTCCAGCATTCTCTTAGGATTCCCAAGGTTCTCTATTACTGGCTGACTATGATGCACAACTTCCAAACCAAGTATTTTCCTTGCAGTCTAGATATACTGATGCCTCGGCCGAGCCGGATCCCCATACGCAGGAGACCAGTAGGACAAACCCAGCACTTACTCAGATTTCATAGCTGCAGTGATGACTCTTCTCTCAAGGTATGGAAATATGCAGCCCCAGAGATACCAGCACAAAGTTCCTTGCCAGGTAGGTTCTTGCAGGGCATTCTGTATGGTTACCAAGGCTGCTGTTTGTCCTTTTTTGGACAGTCCCTCCGATTTTCCATACTAGATAGTGGCAACAGATACAACCTTGTTTCTCTTCCTACAGAATTTCAACTGGAAATGCCAGTAATGAGTCCGAGGGAAGAATCACTTTTTCTGTGCCCTCCCAAAGTTTTGCTGGACGAGGTATGGGGAGGAGGGAGCTCTGCAAAGCCAGCTGCTGCTGCATCCCTTACCTGCAGCCGCTGCCATCCCCTTGAACCCTTGTCTTGTAGACAGAAGAAGAAGAAGCAACGCCTTTACCGTTGTATAGGCAGTAGCCACCCTCCTTATTGAAACTTTGGGGCAGCATAGCTGCAGTTGACATCATTAGTCCTCTGAGCCAGCTCTCTCTGTTGCAGCATCTCCCTGGGCGACCAGATTCCCCCCAACTCACCTACCGCAAGATCCTGTCTTTCTGCACCGAGGCCTGACTTGCCAGTGGGGGCACAACAGCTGCAGCCAATGTGCTCTAGCTCCTCAAGTGCCGCCACCCCACAGCATGCCAGCTGACTCCAACTCATCCCTTGGTGTGGAAGAAATCTCTTGAGACCCTTCTTGTTGGCACTTGATGAGTTCCAGATCCAATCACCCCCCCCACTTCCTCTCCTCTCTCCTCTTTTAAACCAAAGCTGCTTTTTAGGACAGCAGCCAGTAGTTCTGATTTTGAGACTCTGCCAGGAATAAGGGCCTCACATCACATCCTTTTTTTTTGTAGCCAGCTACACAAGACATTGAAGGCTTAAGGGGAAGGCTAAAGGTTTCCCAGCAATCCTCATCTAAATCTGGAAATCCATCTGTTTTTTTTGTGAAGGAGGTGCCTTTCAAAAAAGAAGCAAACCAGGCTAATTGCAAGAAGCTGGGTAGGTGCATGTATGACACATGGAAACCTTAACATGACCAGCTCCTCTTGGTCTGACTACAGCCCACAGCAGTAGCCAAGACCCTTCCTCCAATGTTATTTCCACCACTGTACATAATTGGTTACTGGGTTGGAAGCTATTTTTGAAACAAGTTTGTCTTATAACATGTTTCTATTAATAAATTTCATTTGTCAGAAAAACAAAAGAAAACTGCTTTTTGAAGTGTGCGTATGTGTGTTGTGTGTGTAAGAGAGACTGATGGTTGGAATCTGCTTTGGGAAGTGATGCAAACTTAACAAGTCTCTGATACAGAAAATGAAGTGTATTCTCTAATCATTTATTATCTCCAGGTTTTCAACAAAACCAAGTACAGCTATAACATCTGGGCCTTCGTGTGCTGATGGCTCTGCATTCTGTCAAAAGAAAAGGAGGGGTGGGTGTGAGATAATCACTGCATCTGGATCCATGGAGGGGGGCAGAAAAGAAGGGGAGCCGAATTACCTTTTGGGGTAGGGGTCAGGAGAGGGCGGTCCAGTCATTCGCTCACTCCTGCTTCTTCGGGTTGTTGACGGCCACGTAGTGATAAAGGACGACCAGGAGGAACAGCGAGACTCCAAGCATATTGGCAAAGATGGCCAGTTGCACGTCCGTCACCATCCTGCGGGAGAAAAGCAGAGAGGTTAGTCCGTCACGGCCAGCGCTTTGGCCGCGGGAAGGCTCGAAGGGCCAGAAGAGACAACGGTCCCCGGGAGTCTCTCCGCGGCGGTCGCAAGTGAGCCGAGAAGAAAGCGACGTGGCAAGGCCGGTTCGCCTGGGAGCCAAGTCCACCCACCTCTCGGTTTGGGCAGCGACCCCACCGTCGTCCTCCTCCTAGCTGTCTGTGGTTCCGAAGACTTCCAGCCAGCGACGTCAAGGCGCGCCGCTCTCGCCTTCCGCTCTCTAGAAAAACTGCGGCGGGAGGGGATGGAGGAACGGAACCAACCGAGTTCCGGAAGTACTGAAGAGGCGCTGCTTTCTTTCGTGTCGTCGCGCACCGCCCTCGGCGCAGGGAGTCGAATTGCTCCGGGACCACGCGTGATCGGGCGCCCCCCGGCGGTTGAAAGGGAAAGCGTGGCCCCTCACGGCCATCCTGTAGGGCCAGGGGTCTCCAACCTTGGCAACTTTAAGATTTGTGGACTTCAACTCCCAGAATTCCTCAGACAGCTTTGCTGTCTGAGGAATTCTGGGAGTTGAACTCCACAAGTCTTAAAGTTGCCAAGGTTGAAGACCCCTGCTGAGTGTAGGCGAGTCCGGCTGGTGTCTGCTCCGCCTCTCTTTGACGCCCCCTCTCTGCGATCCTTCAAATGCGTCGAATGAAAACGCAACACGCGCGCTTAAATTTACCTTCAAAAGGCGTGTCATTTAGCTAAGATATTTACATACTCCGGGCGGCTTACAGAAGCCAGCCAATTAAAAATAAAAGGAAACTCTTAATATAGGCAGTAAGGATAGTAGTATCCTCAAGGCAGAGACAACGCAGGCGCCTCAGTGCAGGAGGAAAGAGTTTAATGAAACAATTTAATGCTTTTTAAAGACCAGCAAGGTTGTCCTTCAAGAGGTCCCCGCGGATGGCAGGGTTTCAAAGAAGGGAGCAGACACTTGTCTGCCATGTGAAAATGAGCGATGCCATTGGGGATATCCGTGACCCGTTTCTATTGCACCCATAGAAGACAACATTGTCATTCTGCTTTTGGGAACTATACAATGCAGTGTTTTTTAATCATGACAACTTTAAAATGTGTGGACTTCAACTCCTAGAATTTCTCAACCAACATCTTTTCACGTATGCCAAATGGTGAGAAATCACCCGCCAATCATTGCAGAAATGAGGTTTACTACTCTTTAAAATTCTCTACAGATGGTCCTTGACTTACAACAGTTTGTTTAGTGACTATTCAGAGTTACACCAAAAAAAGTGACTTATGACCAGTTTTCACACAACCATTGCAGCATCCCTATGGTCACGTGATCAAAATCCAGACACTTGGCAACTGACTCATACTTATGATGGTTTGCAGTGTCTCAGGGTGCCGTGGACCCCTTTTGCTCTGACTAGCAAAGTCAATGGGGAAGCCAGATTTACTTAACAGTTTGACTAATTTAACAACAGCAGTGATTCACTTAACTGTGGCAAGAAAGGTGTTAACAAATGTTTCACTTAGCAAAAAAAAAATGGGCTCAATTGCAGTAAGTCAAGAATAGCTGTACATTCCTGAAGGAAACTGAAATGAGCTGAATTGAATTTGGGATGTACAGAGTTTCGAAGAAGCAGGCACTCAAGTACGAGCTCCACAAACCTGATGATCAGCTTTTCACATGTGTGGGTGTTGGGGCTTTAAAAGAGCCAGAATCTCCTCTTTAAGACCACAGATATTTCAACTTTCTGCAGGGTTGGGAGGGAGGAAAAAAATGGATAGTGGAAGAGCTGGATTGAGAAGGAGAGGACATGCTCATATAACAGACTAAAATTGCCAATAGATGCCAAGCTGATCCTGCCTCCTGTGGGACATTTGATTAGCCTCCAACAGCATGTTCGGTGAAGTGTGTCAGATTTGATATTATTTATTTATTGTATTTTATTTATTTATTTATTTATTTAATTTATATTGCCACCTATTCGCCCATGGTGATTTGAGGTGGCTTACACAATGCAAAACCATATTTAAAACAAAAAATAAAAATAAAAAACAATAAAAACTAACAAAAATAATCAAATTAGTAAAGTACAATAAAACAAAATTTCGGGGGGGGGGGGGGAAATCCAACTCCCACCCCCCAGGACAGCAGATCTACTGTAGAATTGATGCTGATTACTATCAGCCTAAGGGAAAAACACACATTTTCACGTGTATTCTCTCCCCTCCTCTTTAATCCTGTTTTTATAACTAAACATAGAAAGTCATGTTTATCTATTTTGCACTGTCTTGTTGGTTTTATTGTGGTTTCAGCCTCATATCATTTAAATGTATGGTTTGCCAATTGCACAGTGGCAGATAGGAAAGCACACTCCAGAGGGTTAATGTCATTGCCCAGAGGATCATTGGTTGCCCTCTCCCCTCTTTGGAAGAGCTTTATAGCTCCCGCTGCCTTAAGAAAGTTCAAAACATTCTCAAAGATCCATCTCATCTGGGCACCCTTTTTTTTGAACTATTACCATCTGGCAGACGGTACAGGATAATAAAAACAAGGACAGATAGGCTTCAAAACAGCTTCTATCCCAGGGCAGTAGCTCTTTTGAATTCTGCTGTATAGTGCAGTATTGGTGCGATGTCAGGGGTTTTCGGTTCAATGTGTGGAGTGTGTAGGATGTGTGTTTGTGTTTATTTTCATGGTCATGGTCATGCACTGAAGATGGTGTTTGATTTCATTGTACGAGGTGCAATGACAATAAAGTAAACTAGACTAAACTAAAGTCCTAATTCATTCTTCTATACCAAACTATCAGAATTCTCAGCAATGGTGCTGCTGGACAGGGAATTCTGGAATTTGGTCCACACATTTAAAAGTATGCCCAGGTCCCCCTTCTACCATATAATATTGGTTGTCTATCCCAGCTTGAGAAAGAAAATTAAAATGGGCAACTATGGGGGAAAAAAGACTCACAGACTGAAGTGCTTGTGGCTGCAACTACTTCGTTTATTGGAAGATCATTTGTGATCCTGAAGAAGCTAAAGTTGCATTGGACCTTCATAAGTAATTGGATTAACACTGAGGTTCTGCAGAATGTTTATTATATTGTTTATATTCATATATTATATCATACATTCCCCAGTAGCCAAGAAACTTCACAACTTGCCCTATTCAGCAATGTTTTTATGATAATGGTGTTGTATTTGTGCATTTTGCTGTTTTTATTGCTTCACATTCAGCATAATTGGGGATGAGTTGCCCCAAATTTCCCCAGCTTTTGTGCCTTGCAGGAGACAATGCTTTAATTCCTACTGTCTTTCCATATTTTTCTCGCCCTCTTTTCTAAAGAGCAAAATAACTGATTGAGAACACAAGAGAAATTAATCACTTTTTCTGCCAAATGGAAGAGAAAGCAGTGATTTGATCACCATGTCATCTGGATTTTCAGTTTAAAAACAAAAAATAAATTATGGCAACTGTAGAGAAAATGGTTAGCCTGGAAGCAATTCTTTTTTCATTGGAAGTGTTTAGAGCTTTCATTCCATGTTTATTCCACATTGCTTGGAAGCCTCAATCATGATTCGTGGTGTGAGAATTACACGCTATAATGTGGTTTGTTTCTGCTTTGACCCATCTAGAAAAATGAGTGATCTTTTGAAGTTGTGGTAATTGGTGATCTCTCATTCCAATTTTATCTGCAGCAGCATTGTAAAAAGTAGCAAGCCAAAGGATTTGGGATATCTTTCACTAGCTTAGAAAAGCTAGGTGATTCCAATTTTCAACAGGTGATAGAAACTGCTTTTGCTACTAATGAGTTAATTGTTCTTTTCCTGGGCTCCCCTTGCAGGATGCTAGGTGTAGGCTGCTAGGTACAACTCTCAGATTATATTCCAGCATCCCAGCACAGTTTTGGGGAACAAAGATTAGGGTTAGAATTACAACATTCTTTGGAACTATCATAGAAAAAAAATAGCTTGAAGGCTTTCTTTCAAATTCACATCAGAAAAGTGGGGAATACAATACGTTCTGATTTATGAGAAATTAAGATACCATACGCTATGAGAGGGAAAAACAAGACTGTTGTTTTCCAGACAGGAAAAAGAGAACCTACAATATTGAACCACAAGATGGGGCTGCCATTACACACAAGGATTTCAGAATAGGCTATACGTTTATTTTGCTGAATTTTACTAGGAAAAAATTGAAACAAACTCCATTAAAGTACTCGGTAACAAGTTATTCCATGTAATAATACACGGTGATATGAAACAGTGTTCCAATATTTGAGGGCTGCCACAAAGAAGAGGGGGTCAGCCTATTTTCCAAGCCACCTGCAGGAAGACAAGGCGCAATGGATGGTAACTAATCAAGGAGGGAACCAACCTAGAACTAAGGAGAAATTTCCTGATAGCAAAAACAATTTATCAGTGCAATGACTTACCTCCAGAAGTTGTGGATGCTTCAACATTGGAGGCTTCTAAGAAGAGATTGGACAATCATTTGTATGAAATCGTATAGGTTTCCTGCTGAGCAGGGGATTGGTCTACAAGATCTCCAAGGTCCCTTCCAACCATTATGTCCATAGGAACACTGCAACAGTCACCACTTTTTGAATAAAATTGCTCTAAACAACACTGAAATTTCAATTCCACAGGAGTTATGGGTCCAGGATTTTTTACACATTCTTTAAGTTAACAGATTTTAGGTACCTTGATTCTAAAATTGTTGCAGGATAATGCATCGTTTTGGCTTCCTTGACAGTACCAATAGATAAACACAGTGAGAACTTTAGTAGTATGTAAGTGTTTAGTAGAGCTGGCAAAAGAAGTTGTGTGCACTTGTTTTAAGATAACAAAAAAAAAAAAAAAACATAATAGCCTTGAAATTATTCTAAGCTATTTGTAAATAACCATTCAAGCCCACATTTCTAAAATTTCACTCAGATTAGGAAACATTTAAACTTGAAGAATGGAGGTTAATTTAATTAATGCTTAATTAATGCTGGTTAATATCCAGTTTAGAACAAGCACACATGTCACTCAGAGAAGCTAGTAAAAAAAAGTGTGATGTTTATTTACTAAACTTCAACAAAGAGCAAAATAGTTGACTAGCAAAGATGCAATAAAAGATAGGGAGGAGGAAAAATATCAGGAAAAAAAGGGAGGAGGGAAACAAACAGGCAACAGTTTGCATCAATGTTTCTCAAACTTTGTTTGTTTGTTTTTATCCCATCTTTATTATTTTTTTACAAATAACTCAGGGTGAAGAACATAACCCACATAACCTTCCTCTTCCTATTTTCCTCACAACAGCTACCCTTTGAGTTGAGATGAGTTGGGCTGAGAGAATGACT